AGGGCCAAACCTTTCAGGTATTTTCCCGATATAGAAGAGGAAAGCTAACCCACTGATTGCGTACATTATCACTTAACAATAACAACTTAAAGGGACAGCCATTTTTATTTGTTGAAGGGTTGGCTTGCTTAATAAAATACCAAATTCTTACAATATGTTCTTGTGTTTTAAAATGAACGACATTAGTAAATTAAACATGTGCGCGGATCGCCAAAAAATTCTGTTCTTCTTATACACTACACTATACTATGTAATCGTAGGTCTATGCACTCCTAAGTATTAAATAGTTCCTGGCAGTACTTTACTATATATTTCGTCTGTCTATAAGCCATATTAGTCTTTCTGATTGAAGTCCCTCTTTCCTTGTTTGCCAGTACAGAGTAAAGTATAATGAAAAATACAATGTTTATATATGGGAAATTACAACGATGTCTCTCTTGCACAGAAGAAAGGTTGTGTCGATACAGCCTGAAGAGGCCTAGAAATCTTTTTAGCAACAATGAAAGGGTTGAATGCTTTGTGAAAGTTAGGACGTAGTTTCTTTTTGCAACAAAGAGGATTTTACTAGTTATTTCTAATTATTTGATGAAGCAAGCCAAAAGTTAGGCAATGTATAAGTTATTACTAGTTATTTCTAGTTATTTGTTGTACATTTGAATTCTGGATACATTTTTAACGTCATATAGCTTTATCTAAAAATGTCAGAGGCTTATCCTGTTTTCCTCTTATAGTCTGCAAAAGTTCTAATAGTCTGATATAATCCTTATTATTCTTGCTTTGTTAATGCAATATATGTACAGGTTTCTTAGAGAGAATTAATTAAGATTGACTGACTTTCCTCAATTCAAAAATTAATAACATCAACACCAACCTACAAGTACATATTTAATAACATCAACATCAACCACAAGTACATATTTAATAACATCAACACCAACCTACAAGTAAATATTTAATAACATCAACATCAACCTTCAAGTACATCTTTAATAACATCAACATCAACCTACAAGTAAATATTTAATATCGTCAAAATAAACCTTCAAGTAAATATTTGATAACATCAACATCAACCTAAAAGTACATATTTAATAACACCAACATCAACCTACAAGTAAATAATTAATAACATCAACATCAACCTACAAGTACATATTTAATAACATCAACATCAACCTACAAGTACATATTTAATAACATCAACATCAACCTACAAGTACATATTTAATAACAACAACATCAACCTACAAGTACATATTTGATAACATCAACATCAACCTACAAGTACATCTTTAATAACATCAATATCAACCTTCAAGTACAACTTAAATAGCATCAACATAAACCTACAAGTAAATATTTGATAACATCAACATCAACCTACAAGTACATCTTTAATAACATCAACATCAACCTTCAAGTTCAACTTAAATAACATCAACATAAACCTACAAGTTCATATTTAATAACATCAACCATAACCTACAAGTACATACTTAATAACATCAACATCAACCTACAAGTAAATATTTAATAACATCAACATCAACCTACAAGTAAATATTTAATAATATCAACATTAACCTACAAGTACATATTAAATAACATAAACATCAACCTACAAGTAAATATTTAATAACATCAACATCAACCTTCAAGTACAACTTAAATAACATCAACATCAACCTACAAGTAAATATTTAATAACATCAACATCAACCTACAAGTACATATTAAATAACATAAACATCAACCTACAAGTAAATATTTAATAACATCAACATCAACCTTCAAGTACAACTTAAATAACATCAACATCAACCTACAAGTAAATATTTAATAACATCAACATCAACCTACAAGTACATATTTAATAACATCAACATCAACCTTCAAGTACAACTTAAATAATATCAACATCAACTTACAAGTAAATATTTAATAATATCAACATCATCCTACGAGTACATCTTTAATAACATCAACAATCAACATCAACCTACAAGTACATCTTAAAAAACATCAACATCAATCTACAAGTACATATTTAATAACATCAACATCAACCTACAAGTACATATTTAATAACATCAACATCAACCTACAAGAATATATTTTCACAGATCTAACAATAAACCAGGTTTTCTGCCTGCTTCTGGGTCGATTGACTTATTGAGAAACCGGCTTGGCATGGTAGTACAATTTTTAATTAAGAGCATAAAGTTGTTTGTAATATTTCACCAAATCCCAAAGCCGAATCCCTTGAATTCCATCCAAATTCGATTTCAAATGGAAATCGAATGATATAAGGGGCAGAAATTAACTATTTTGTTATTGCAAAAAATTGGAAGTATGATGTCAAGTAGTACAAAAAAGTTACTCTTTTAACACCCATAATGCATGCAGTACACAATACACATTTTTGAAGTACATTAATTGTACACAAAAAGCTTTCCAAGTTCACAATGACACAGAAAGTATATTTTCAACCCTGATCCCATTTGCGATGAGAAATGGAATTATTCAGACCGCTGTCCTTGATTAGTACCTTTCTTGAGTATGTTTGCCCTGTAACCATGTAGGCTTTAGCAAACCCAGCTTTAGTAGTCACTTTTTCATCCAACTGCTTAACCTAAACATGAAAAATTAGATCTCAAAATACTCAATTTGTTTTATCATTATAGATTATTATCATTATTATTAGCAGACAACCCATCATTCAATAAAATAGGGGTCAACGCTCCTCTTAATTGATCATTGATTATATATATTTGTAAATTTTGAAAATGTTTCTGTTCCTTACAAAGTCACATGATTAAGAAAAATCTAAAATAAAAAAATTATATTTATGAAAAACTTATTTTTTTACCTTTGCATGATCTCCATCGAAAAGTTGTAGAAAGGAAGCCTGAGTTCCTGTTGTACCCTGTGAACATAAAACCCAATATTTTAGATGGATTTTTCCAAGAAAAATTCGAAAATTCAAGTTTTATTTTCAGGGAACATATTCTTTAAACTTTGAATCCTTACCTTTACACCTCTAAATCTTAGATTGTTTCTAGTCTCTGATAAATATTCAACAATTAATATCTAAATTCAGTCCAAGTCCAAGTCCAAGTCCAAGTCCAAGTCCAAGTCCAAGTCCAAGTCCAAGTCCAAGTCCAAGTCCAAGTCAAAGACCAAGTCCAAGTCCAAGTCCAAGTCCAATTAAAATCCAATCAGATCCAATACAATCAAATCAAATCAGATCAAATCAAATAAAATCAAATTCACTCAATCAAATCAAATCGGATTAAAATATTTTTTAAAAAGTCCGACATTTTGGGACGTCTTCAACATATTTTGATTTTGCCGAGTTTTTTTTTCAAGAATTTAGTTAGGAAACAGATAACACTTCAACTGTAAAAACGTGAAGCTTCATCAAAAAAATAAAATTGAATATTTTCCTGCTAGATTGTATTCATCCATTACAAGTTCTTGAATCCAGAGACAAGCTCGTTTCCCAACTGTTGTTAGCTGGGCAGGCTGGAGGTGTGTAAACCCTGAATAGAAACATTGGTAGAGTTAGGTTTCCCAACTGTTGTTAGCTGGGCAGGCTGGAGGTGTGTAAACCCTGAATAGAAACATTGGTAGAGTTAGGTTTCCCAACTGTTGTTAACTGGGTCGGCTAGAGGTGTGTAAACCCTGAATAGAAACATTGGTAGAGTTAGGTTTCCCAACTGTTGTTAACTGGGCAGGCTGGAGGTGTGTAAACCTTGGATATAATCATTGGTAGAGTTAGGTTTCCGAACTGTTGTTCAAAATGAGCTGATCACTTGTCTCAAACTATAATTTCTTATCCCAATATCTTTGCAATTCAAGTGTAAATATTTGATATTTCAAACTTTGACTTTTTGATCTAGTAGAACTTAAAATATCGCAGGTCTACAACATCATGTTGTAAACTGTAAAGATACATAAGGTAAACTGTAAAGATACATAAGGTAAACTGTAAAGATATATAAGGTAAACTGTAAAGATACATAGGGTAAACTGTAAAGATACATAAGGTAAACTGTAAAGATATATAAGGTAAACTGTAAAGATATATAAGGTAAACTGTAAAGATATATAAGGTAAGTTATCAGTTGCTTTTTTAAAATGTCACAGGTTGTTTATTTGAATTACGGAATCATTAACTGGGGATGGAATCTAAATTATTGGAGACTAGCTTGGGAACCCAGCGCTGCCAAAGTTACTAAAAGTTACTCCCGCCGTTTACCCGCACTTAACGATTTACCCACCCAACTTAGAATCCCAACATCCCCGTGGGTCTCCAGAGTTCCCCAACCAAAATTTAAACAAATCGGTCCAAGAGTTTCCAAGTTATGATTGGACAAGCAAACGTACAGACATATAAACAGAGAGAACAACTTTATATATATATATGTCACGCCAAGATGTACCTTAGGGCCTTAGGAAGTTAGGACCAATACGGGTGGATATTATGACTATTAGACACGGTCGTCCAACAAACGAAACATTTTTTGAAAATCCACGAAATTTAATGATTAAACTTCTTGTTGTGATTACCAAGTGTTGGAAGATCTTTGAACTCTTCTGCAAATGCTGCCAGTCGGCTGATACAGCGAGCAGCCTTGGGAAGAAGAATATCTAAGCCATCCCTAAAAATAATTACTTAGGACCCATTTCATATCTTATTAAATTTTTTTTTAAATCATAGAAAATCACTTATTGTACTGTCGTCGTCGTATATTTATCAATACAAGACGACTTTTGATTTCGTTTTTTAAAACCTACCAAGCTTTCCAACAGAATGGATACACATAAACATGGAAACAGAGAGAAGCTTTCAATTAACAACTTCTCTTTTGAAAAAGCTAGTTCGAAATCAAAACTTGAAAGAAAAGTCGTTGTGTTGATAAAAACACCGACCACATCACGATGTGAATTGTTATTTACACATGATTATTTAATACTAGACTAACCTAAGCTGGATCAGATCCGTGTTGTCCCCGACATAACACGAGGTAGCTCCGAGATGAATTATCGGAGCAGCTTTGGGACATGCAGCTCCAAATGTGTGAACATGAGCCATGACATCATGTCTAAATCACGTTGATGATGATAATTAAATCACCAATTTGTGGAAATCATGCAAAATAAATTCTTTCCTTTTTATTACCTCAGTTTCTTTTCCTCCTGAGCAGCCAATGCAAAATCAATATTATCCAGATTTTCCCGCATTTCTTGCAGTTGTTCCTCACTGATTTCTAGACAGAATACTAGAATTCATTCTGTTCAATTAATAACTAAAAAGATAGGAAAATAAATTCTTAGAATACTTCAGTTTAGCTTGGTGTAAAGTATACTAGCCAAAATCCATAGCAAGAAAAACGTTGCTGGTGAATTTTAAGAGTAGTATTTTTAAATCTCAGAATTGAAACCCTTCTTATCTTTAAATCTGAGAATTGAAACCCTTCTTTTCTTTAAATCTCAGAATTGAAATCCGTCTTTTCTTTAAATCTCAGAATTGAAACCCTTCTTATCTTTAATTCTCAGAATTGAAATCCGTCTTAAGGTTTACATCAAAGCAAAAACAAACCCTAAATCTTTAATAGTATAGTATTAGCTTGCTTGTTCTTTTCCTGAAAACAAATCATTAAACCCCAACGCCCCCCAAGTTTTAAAATAATTTTTCCTCTAAAGATTAAGTATGTTTGCAAAAAGCTAATTTTTTGTGGTTTTATTCGCGGATTAAGGAAAATGAATAAAAACAAGTGTGAAAAAGGATGGGAAAACTTCTTACGTCAAATATATCAGTTTCCCCCTGATCTTAGTTAATTTGTTTAGATACACCCCTGTTGGTTGATCTCACCTAATCCCAGCTCCCTCTCTGCTTCGGCCAACAGCAACCATAACTTCCGCCACGTGGAAAACTTCTTTCGGTCACTAACATTAGTTTAACATTTAATTTAATCCATAAATCCACCAATGAATTTTTTGTGTTTACTGAATTTAAAAACTTTTAGGGTCAGAAATAGCTAAATTTGATAGGAAAAATAAGAAAAAGGAAAAAATATCATATAAAGGTTCTATGAAGAATTCCCATTTTTACATTGCTTATAAAACCTTGTACGTAAAATGAACAATTAAAATATCAGAAAATGAACTCCTCAAGGGGTAAACTGCCTTGCAAGACGACTTTAAAGGTCATCTCAGAAAAAAATTACTTTCTTCTATGACATAACAAATGTAAATCCTAGGGAGTTTCGAGATCCATCAACTGCATCCATGGTTGTAGGGCTTATGCAATTATTTCATTCTAGATTATCGTACCCTTGTTTAGTTTACATTAAAATTAATGGCGTTTTCCAGTTTTACATATTCAAAAATGTGGTACTTCAATAGTCAATTTTTTTTTCTCATGTTCATCATGTACACTGAAGGGTACAGTATACACTTCTACATAGTTCACCTCAAGGTTATAATGCAAGGGAAAGTTATTTCAGAGGTGTACGCGTCTTTCGTACTGCAGTGTACTGTCTCTAGGCGGTAATGTAAACACAAGACAGATGTTGAAGCCTGACATGGGATCCATCTTTCACATAAAAATTCAATGAAATATTCTGGTCATTGGAAACTAATATGAGAATTATCAAAATTATCAAAATTCAATGCTTTTATCCTCCTCGGATACTAAACGAACACTGATACATCTATTCTTGTTTACAAATTCCGCTCAGAGAGAACGCAACTGCAATTAACTTTCCCTGCATTATAACCTTGGTTCACCTGAAATTAAACTGCATTTCTGCGCTTGAGTAGCGACTGTTTAATGGGGTTTGATAACTATCAACAGACATGATTTCTGAAAAAATTCGACCATAAAACATGAGTTTTAAACTTTGAAAGTGCAAATCCAAGATATTAGATTTAAGATATTAAATTTAAGATATAAGATATAAGATATAAGATATAAGATATAAGATATAAGATATAAGATATAAGATAAAAGAACTGATTATAAATATTGATATCAAATATTATCGGAAAACTCTGATTGCTAAGAAACGCACCTTTTGAAAAGGTCAGATTTTTATTTTTTTTTTAAATATTATTGTTTACTCATTCATATTATTTTAACAGATTTACAACGAAGTAAATGTTTATGCAATTATAAATGTAAAGTTGAATATTTACTTAGAGTCTTAAAATATCACTTTTTATTTGATTAAAATGAAAAATAACAATTTTCAGACAGAAAATTTTGAACCAAGAGGCAAAAAAACAAATAATACTGATTTGCTTTTGAGCCTTTACAAGCCGATAAAATACTTATTTTCAAGAAAAATTTAGCTTCTTAATGTTAAATCACAGAATATTTGCTATAACATTATTTTTTTTAAAAGAGATATTAATAAAGAATTATCAAAAATAAGATTATTTTATTACAAAATTTTTCAGTGCAGTCAAATTATCAAAAAAGGCAAGTTGGAATTCTTTAATTTGTAAAATTAATGTTTTTATTAAATCAAGAAATGAGACGAAAACTAATTTTATCTCCTTAATCTCCTCAAGTTTTAGGAAGATTTCAAAAATCATTGAACATGAAAATCCCTCAAAATTACTTATAGCCCAATGGAATGCATGGAATATTAAATATTGTACTGTATCGTTTAATATACATAAAATGTATTTGTTTAAAGTTTTCATAGTTTTTACAATTTATATAGAATAAAGATTATCCAAAATATAACAAAACACCTTATTAACAATTTTATAAAACTTATCAAAATTTATTTTGTCTTACAACGTTCAACAACATTAAAAGTTAAACAAAAATTTGAAGAAAACTGTAAAATGTAATAAAAAAATAAAGACTACAAATCACCGGTAAAATTTCAAACTGACATAACTTTGTTTACTTAAATTGAACATACAACATACAATATACTTTATAATTACTTTCTACCATACATAAAACACATATTCATTATGTATGTTTGCAAAGATGCTTCATAATTTAAATGTACTCTGTGAACTTGTGGAAGCCAAAAATATTAAAAGTTGATCCAAAACTTTTCCAGTATTCTCTGCTTCAGTGCTGGGTCTATGCTTGGAGCACATTGATTTTCCAGTCTAGAAAATCAATCAATCAATCAATCAATAAATCAATCAATCAATCAATCAGTCAACAAACCAATTAATAACCCTGTCAGCAATTGTCAAAACGTTTGTTCAATGTTTAATCTAAATAAATTAAAATCAGTTGGTAATTTCAACAGCCAATCAATCAGTTCATAAACCAACGTCTGATCAAGGAAAAATCTATCAATGAATAAATCAGTGAAAAACGGCCTCTGAAAATGTAATTGATCATGATGATCAATACAAGAAAAATCCTGAAGGTCTTATTTTATAAATCATTAATGCAACCAAACAACTACTTAAACAATCAATCGACCAACCAATCGACCAATCAATCAATCAATCAATCAATCATCAATCAACCAACCAATCAATTAACCGCTCAATCAATCAATTAACCCCTAATGAAACAAAACCTGAATTCTGCGAAGGTGAACCCTGTATTGTGCCAGTAGGCCAGACAGAGGAAGATCAGAACATGCCACCACTGATGAGAACTCCCTTTACAGAAAAGAGAAAAGAAATAATGATTTTTGTTCTCGAAAACTCTTATTCAAAACTTGGAGATATTTAATACACATTGATCAGCACAAAAATAATGTTGGGTGTAAAAAATATTATGCTTAAAAAAATAAAATGAAAAAAAATTTGTTTCGTTTTTATATTTTCTGTGATATAGATTATCGAACCATTTTATCAGAAGTACAATGAATTCAATTTCTATAAAAAAAAGTCTGTGTGAGGGGAAATTATCATTTAAAACTTAAAAATAAAGATTAGTAATATTTTTTTTACCTAGATAGTCGAACTTTCCAGGACCAAACCTTTCAGGTATTTTCCCGATATAGAAGAGGAAAGCTAACCCACTGATTGCGTACATTATCACTTAACAATAACAACTTAAAGGGATAGTTCCCCATTCGAAAAATAAAAAACCGCTGCAATTTAAGGATTTGAAGTAAAAAAACAGCACTTTTTATTTGTTGAAGGGTTGGCTTGCTTAATAAAAAACTTAATTCTTACAATATGAATGGCTTGTTCTTGTTTTAAATTTTTTTTTCTTCATACAGTTTTAATATGAACGACATTAGTAAATTAAACATGTGCGCAAAGCGCCAAAAAAAATCGATTCTTCTAGTGTCTTTTCGTGTATTTCTTAGCGTCTGTTAGTCACTGGCTTAGTCATATTCACTATGTATATAAAATCCTCTATTCATCTATCATCCACTAGTAATATTTGTCCATTATACACTACACTATACTATACTATGTAATGTATAGTCCCTTTAATCGTAGGTCTGTGCAGTTCTAAGTATTAAATAGTTCCTGGCAGTACTTGACAATATATTTCGTCTTTTTGATCGAAGTCCCTCTTTCCTAGTTTTCCAGTACATAGTAAAGTATAATGAAAAATACAATGTTTATATATGGTTGGGAAATTACAACGATGTCTCACTTGCGAAGAAGAAAGGGTGTGTCTATACAGCCTGAAGAGGCCTAGAAATCTTTTTAGCAACAATGAAATGGTTCAATGCATTGTGAAAGTTAGGACGTAGTTTCTTTTGGCAACAAAGAGGATTTTACTGGTTTTTTCTAATTATTTGATGAAGCAAACCAAAAGTTAGGCAACGTATAAGTTATTTCTAGTTATTTCTAGTTATTTGTTGTACATTTGAATTCTGGATACATTTTTATCATCATATAGCTTTATCTAAAAATGTCCCAGGCTTATCCTGTTTTCCTCTAATAGTGTGCAAAAGTTCTAATAGTCTGATATATAATCCTTATTATTCTTGTTATTGCAACATATGTACAGGTTTCTTAGAGAGAATTAATTAAGATTGACTGACTTTCCTCAATTCAAAAACGAGAAAATAGTTACAAATTCTATCAGAAATTATGCGCGAAGCGCCAGAGAAATATTTGGGAATTTTTTCTTCATTGACAAAATTTGATAAAAGATGGTCCACAAATCATGCTGGAGTCAAGTAAGGGGAGGGGGGCAAGAGGGGGGCGAAATTTGCTGAGGGGGCGAAACTCGGTTCGCCCCCACCCTAGTTGCGCCACTGACTGTAGACTTCATTTAAAGAGTGTCATGATCGATTCACAATGATACCCTTGACAGATCAATAATGAAATGTTTACTTTGATAACACTCCTACATTTCTGCAACATAAATACGCTTTTTCTATAGGAAAAAAATTTAAATTAATCAATTTTCAAAATGAAAAAACATCAGACATTTAAATCAATAATTTGCGGGTCACTTAATATTTGGTCTTCAGTGCATGACTCAGTCCCGTCAAAATTCATCAAAAAATGATCAAATAAGTTAAGTAAAGTTGCATTCAATTTGGATTTAAGCCTAAATACGTCGAATTCAGAGCTTAGGAAGAAAGAGGGGGGGGGGGGTTAAGGTGGATAAAAGAATTAACTCAATGCATTAATTGAATTTACTGAATTTATGTAATTCATTGCACACACTGAAAAATTGAACCTGACTTGCTTTATACACAGAATTAATCAAGATTTTTCAATAGAAAATACGCTGGTTGCTACCGGCTAAATCATTTTAGGATAAAAGAAAATACGCTGGTTGCTACCGGCTAAATCATTTTAGGATAAAAGGCTTGGCTGAAAATACTTCAACTCGGTCCTTTACTAATTAATTAATTAATTAATACTTACCAATTCGTGGCAAAAATATTCTTACAATCTCATCTCCAAAACCTCCACTAGAAGTAAAATATCAATAAAATATTTTTTTTATAAATACTGGAAATAAAATCAGAATTAGAAAACAAGTAAAAGGTACGATCTTTGTATGCAATGATCCAGATCTTCACATGGGCACTTTTAATTTAGCTTTGAAAACAGCTGTTCAGGATTTTTTCGATCTCAATTTCGATCTTTAGAGAAACCAAAAGAAATTAACTTTATCTCTTGGACATTAAAACTTTTTAAAGAAATTAACAATTTATTAAGGCCTCTGTATAACGTAAACGGAGTACATTATGTACACACATATTTACCTGAGATAGACCCAATGCAGGGCTGGTACAGTACCGTACAAGGCCCAGAGTACAAAGTAAACCAATCTGTAAACGGCTTTCTCATTAAATATTTAAATGATGGTGGCGAAAAATCAACATTTAACGCTTTTACCCTTCAAATTTTCTTTCAGCTTAGTGTTTTATAAGAAATGGAAAATAGGCAAAACAGAAGAAACGTTAAATCCCATTTTTCTTCTCATCGCTTTGAAATATGATGATTCGTTTAAATGAGCAATGTTCCTAATTTTGACATATTTATCGTTCTTTAGAATATTTCTGAAGAGGAGTCCAAGAGTAATGATTATTCCTGAAAAAAAACATTTTAAATTGAATTCTAAGTTTTTAAAACCAGTTTTAACAACAAATAATTATAAGATAATAAATATGTTTTTGTCTTTGCACAGTATTTTATCTCGGACATAAATAATGTAAATATTTACTGAAAGGAAATATTAACATTATGGTTGTACGTTACGTATAGTTAATAAAAAAGTACACTAACAATTTGTACTTTAGCTAAAACCATCGAGTTAAATGAAGTTCATAATTGATTCAGAAAACAAATATTTTACTGAAGGTACATTGGCAACGAACGATGAAAAAAGTACATAACATTAAAGTTTGAAGTACAAATATGTACATTACAAATAAGAAGGAACCCACAAAGGATGATCTACAGTAAAATAATTACGATTTAAAGTAAAGTTTTGTTTTCTGCTTAGCATACAGTTTTTTAATGCAAATTAGTAATTTAAATTCTGTACCGTTGTACCTGAAGTTTCATCCTTTATGGGTATTTGGATAACCTTGTACTCAGGGTGCCCAACTCTAAATTGTCAAAAATCCACTGAAAGGCAAATTTTTATCCACAAAATCCTCAATTTTTCCTGCAGAAAAAAGCTTAATTTTTAGAGTTTTTTGGGAGGGTTTATGAGAGTTTTTAACATTTATTTCTGTAACTGATGCAATTTCAGATCTCTTTACTGCAGTGCAAATGTTATAGTTTCATTTAAAACTCTGAAACACAAAAATTGATTAAAAGTCACATTACACACTTCGAAAAAAATAGTTGCTTACAATTCAGAGCTCATGTTACATACTTTGAAAAAAATTGCCAAAAAACTAATGTTAAACCAAAATTCCAAAAAATATTTTTTTTGATCCTGATTAAACAATTTTCAAGATACCGATATGAAAACAAATGAGCGTCAGTGGAATCTCAGACATCTTCAGATTGTAATATTTTGAAAAAAAAATTTACTAACTGCAACATTTGTGAATTTTTTCTACCTTTAAATTAATTTTCTCGTGGAAATTTTAATTTTACAGAAAACTTTATTTCTAAAAGTTGTCCAGATTAACAATACTCATCTAACAAACTGACAATATTTAAATTTAAAAAAATGTAAAACTCAACCCCCTTTCAGAGAGATATATATGTTACAGGAAAACTTTCCTATAATTTCGAGACATGTTTTTCATTAATTTTTGACAGAATATCAGAAATATCAGAATAAATATTAAAATCCCCAGAATATCTACAAATCCCCAAGGGTTTTCAAAATCCCCAGATTTGGCACTTCTGGGGATTTAATCCACAAGGTTGGGCACCCTGCTTGTACTTTAGACTTGCATACTGAATACTCAATTGTTACAATTTGTACACGAAAGGGCATGACCCTACCTACTGTTACAAGGTAAAAGTTTCTCCAATCAGGAGAGCAGAAGAAGGCATAGTAGATTCCAGAAACATAGGAAGCTGTTATAGAAGCTGCAATTCCTAGAATTATAATTTGCATAAGGAAAAACTTCTGACATCGGAGACATCTGTTGTTAAATTTCCAAACTTTTGTTTACCGGCTAGATCAAGGCAAAGGCAGGTGTCAGACACTTGCTTGGAGTGTGCCGTGAAGGTGTGATAAACAGCTGAGAGGATCATACAGGCCTGGTAGCACGTTATAATGCAGAGGATCACAGCAAAATCCTGAATATACGTTAGATAAAGTTTCCTGACAGAGACATCTAGTGGTGATTTTACGAACTACGCTGCTCACCTCCCAGGATACTTTACTAGGCGGAGCATACATATCCCAGGCAAGAAGGGTTCCGAAGGCAAGAAATCCAAGAACATGAGTCCAAATATTCATCGTTTCATTGTGGAAATACAGCAAAGACTGAACAAACAAGTTTTAAATTATAGAAAAGAAATAAAAAAAGAATGGAATTGAAAAGTAATTTAAAAAATCGGAATTTGAGATCCATTAAAATTTTGGGGTTAAAAAATACAAAAAAACCTTCTGTCTAGGTGGGTCCTGACTCTTAGGTGCATATGAAATTATTATGTAATTATAGAGCAAAATACAGGTACGATAATTTATGTAAAGATTTTAATTTGAAAAGATATCACAGTTCAAAAGGGTTCTTTTCTAATCAAATTGTGGCATCTTTCGGCCATTTTCCGCCTTATCTAACCTTAAGGCACTGTAGGTAGGTTTGTGAAGACCTGTATCCTGTTCTAATGTAAGGATTAAACCTTTGATACTCAGGAACCTACAAAAAAATAATAACAATAAAAAAGTAATAATATTGATAACTAGCTGAAGGGCCCAGCGTTGCCCGTGAAAAAAAGGTTGAAAAAAAAATAATCAAAAAAAATTTGAAAACAAAAAATCGATTTTTTTCAGCCTATAACACCCCCCGGCCACCCATGAGTGTCCACAAATCGGTCCAGCCGTTTGGCCGGCTATACGTATTTCGCAACATATATATGAATGTCTTGTTTATTTGTAGATAGGAATAAATATATAACTAGGTGAAGGACCTGTAGTTGCCCGTGGATAAAAAAATTAGAATTTTTTTTAGGGAAAATTAGCCATGAGTGTCCACAAAAAAATTACAGCTCATTCAATCCAGCCGTTTGGTCGGCATACGCAACGATTATAATAACGATAACAATATCGATAACGATACCGATACCGGTAATGATAACGATAACGATAACGATAATATACCGATACCGATAACGATAACGATAATAATAATAATAATAATAATAATAATAATAATAATAATAACTATAATAATAACTAAGTATATACGGGATAATATTAATAAGGATTCCTTCCACGCGTATATATGGATTCACTTCTACAGGATGAAGTATTTATAGGATTGATTTTATATTTCTGCAATATTTGTTGTGTGACTGTGAGGTGTGAACACTGAACAGTGTAGGGATGGGATATCAATCCGCTTACGGACCGGTGGGAAGTTTGTATAAACGCACGAGAGAATAGTGAAAATAATAATAAAATAATAATGATAATAATAATTAATAGTACTATACCTCATCTATTTTGTAGAGTTGCTTATCATGATTTCTAAGATTCTGAACTAGAAATCGCCACATTTTCTTATTATTTTCTTCTGGTCGATTGTATTTTTAAACCCGGAATTATTTACTTCAGGTATAAAAGATGCTTACATAAATATTGCAGTTTTCAGTTTATAACTTTATTGTTTCTGTGAAAATTGTCTTACAACGAAAGTTACGTTTTCAAACCAAAGGCGAAGTTTTTAGCGTTTTTTGTCGTTGTTAGATAACCAAGACTGGAGAGAGAAGGAGGAAGAACATTCTTCTGAAATTATAAAAATAAACTGGACATTTATCTATTGTTTGTATTCAGACCAAACAATTAATTCAGGGTGTTTACAAATTGTTCATACTTAAAAAAATATATATTTTTGGGAAAAAAATCTAATCTTATCTTTTTTATAATCAAAGCAAATAAAATAAAAAATTACAAATATAACAAATTTAACAAAAAGAACATATATTCGTGACATTCCCAAAGTGTATTATATTCGGGACACAACTAAAGTGTATTATATTCGGTACATACCTAAAGTGTATTATATTCGGGACAGTCCTAAAGTGTATTATATTGGGACAGCCCTAATTTTGTAAAATCATATTTTATGAGATAAGGCCCAGTTCGGCCACATGTAGATTACTTCTTGGAGATAAAAAAGTGTGGAGGTCCATGCTTGAGTTGGAAACTTAAGAGTTTGTCTCTTGTCTGAACTTTAAAACAAGAATCCATGAAAAAAAATTGTTGAACAGTTTTTTTTAAAAGTTGTGAAATTTCTTAGAAAAAGACAATAAATCTTAAATAAAGTTTATGTGATATTGGCCACATAATAGCCCCATTTACAGCTGTAGCCTTCAAACCTTCGTTTGAGCAAATATTGATAACTTTAAAGGATTTGCAGATTTATGCAGTAGATGCACAAAATGAAATAAACACAATTAACATAATTTAATACAGGGTTCACTTGAAAATTCCCTTTTTGTCGAAATCTATAACTCTAGTCTATAGTGTGCAGTGATTATTGATAGTTGGTTAGAAACCCAGCAACTAAATTAATAAGTTATTTTTAAACTCAATGTAAGATTAGGAATACATATAATTTACAAAACAAAAAATCTTTTAATTATGATCAACAGTCAAAACTAAAAATATTCTTTCAATTTTTAACTTCTATATTTTTGAGAACAATTCCGCCTCAAATTAAGTCAGGAGTAAATAGCCCTGAATTATAAACAAGTATTGACCAAAGTATACTTGTTAAACCGGATTTTACTATTAAAACCTTTTCTACCTCGCTGAAATTGTAATTTCATTGGAAAAATTCATAAGACCAAATAATGACAAACCAAAAATTTTAAACTGATGATGAAAGGAGGGGGGGGGGGGGGGGGGGGGGGGAGGAGGGCACGAAAATTAAAACAGTTTTAAAAACATAACTGAGCATGGTCTTAGCAGGTGAACTCAAAAATATGTATTGTAAATGCAAATTTCAATTTTTTAAAAATCTGAACAAAAATGCGCGCGCACGCGCTTTTAGTGAATGAACTTGATGTGCTTCTAATCGTTTAAAAAAAGTAATCCTTAAATAGTTTTGCGCCAAAAAAACTCAAGTCCCCCCGCGCGCGCACATTTTAAAAATTATTTGAGATTATCCGTTTTATCAAGTTTGGCATACAACAGGTAAATCGGGACAAGGAATTCATTTTTGAAATAAGGAAAAAAATTTGAGCACTCTGACCGACGCGCTAGTAGCCAGCGGTATGGGTCACAGATTTTACATGTTGTATGCTGATTTATAGGTATTCATTTCGAAGGTCAAAATGATTATTAGAGCAGTCTGACTGGCGTGCTAGTAACTAGCAGTTACGTTATGGGTCATCTTAGCATAGATTTTACATATTGTATGTAGATTTACCGATAATTGAGCATGAAGAATTCATTTCTGAGGTCAAAATAATTATTAAAGCCATGGGTCATTTTACATGTTGCATGTCGATTTCGTGCCAATACCACCATTTATTTTGCCTTAACAGTCCATTGAAGGATGTAATTTAAAGAGTAACTAAGTATAAGGAGAGATAACCTTTTCCGTCTTATTTTCTGTTAATCTTTTTCTGAAGAAATTGTGACGTTTGGATACTGTTGTTGGATATCTTGAATGAAGGATGCGGAAAAATTAGGAATACCCTCAAACTGGTAAATCAGTTTATTAAATGCAGGTCCAGGATGTTCCAGGATCCTCCGTAGACCAGTTTCTGTGAGCTCATCTGCACCCCCGATGTCCAGAGTTGTTAGGCAGGGCAGACCCCCCTGATAAACAGATATGTCAATTCAAATAGTTAGGTTTGTAAGTTTGTTGGTTTTCACAAAATGGGAAAAACTTTTATTGATTACCAGGAAATGGTTTTGGAGCATTAAGAAAATAATTACTTTAAAAAGGGGGTTTAATTTGCAAATGTGTTCCCGAGAGCCAGAAAACTCAATAATCTGTGAAAATGTTAACAAATAACCCGGTTTTTAGTAGGTTTTACGCCTTTTTTAATACTTTTCGTAAATTGGACCAAAGAATAAGAATATTGAGTGTAAACAGTAGAATATATATAAAAAATATATTAACTATACATCTATCTCTATCTGCAATAAGAAGCGTAGGCAAGTATTGTAAGCAGACTTAAATATTTAACAACAAAGTTTTAGTCTGACTCAATTTTTTCTTTACTAACTTAAGCCCTCTTTAGATACTACTGTGAAACACAATGGTTTTTGAGGGGTAACTATTTACATTCTTGGTGAATATCAAGCATTAGATATAAAAAACACATTTCTTATTTAAAGACAAATATATTAATACAAAAATTGAAATAGATAAACAAAATAATCTTAGGCGGACATGTCTTACCTCAATGCCATCCACGCCTTCTCCTGTTATCTTGGAAGAACCCCCAATATAAAGGCTTTTAACAGTTTTTTTTACATAATTTGAGAAACTTCACCAATCCATCATCACTTAGATTCTCACACCAAAGTGAAATTTCTTCAATACAAGGCAAAGAGCAAACTCCCAGTTCCGACAAACCTTCTCCTGTAATATCATTATCACCAATGTCCAAATGTGTGAGTGTATTTCCCCACAAGCGTAACAACTGAAGCAGCCCACTGTCAACTAGTGACGTTGAACTGCAATTCAGAGATTTCAAATTCTGAATATGAGGAAGGTTTTCAATACTTAACATATTGCAGGTCACACAAGTGTCATCTATATTCAAGGTTTCTAAATTATCTCCACAAAGAGAGAGTAACTGGAAAAGTCCATGGTCAGTGAGCTCAAAGGCAAATGAGCAATCCAGTTTCTCCACATTCTCAAGGGAACTGGTACAGTTAACAAGACCCTCCCCAGTAAGAGGGGTAAAACTGAGGTTCAGTTCTGTGAGAGTAGATCCACAAATCCGGATTATCTGCAGTAGTCCTTAATATAGAGATATTTTAGCATGAACCATAAAAACTTGCATTCATCATCTGCCTGTTAGATAAAATAAAATTATTCCCAAGTAAAAAAAAAAATCTAAAACATTAAGTTTGATTTGAACTTATAAAATTTTTGTTTCTTTTAAATAATTTTTAAAAGTATAATGAATTTGAACTGTAAATCATTCAGACTAAAATGAAACAACATTTGATTCTGAGTTCTCAATTCTGATTTATTTTCAAACAAAATTTATTAAATGTTTAAGTAAGCTTGCCTCCATCTGTTATTTGTTCACAGGAATGGAAATCAAAGGTCTCCAAGCATTCCATGGTTCCCTCAAATTCTTTCAACTTCTCGCCAGTAATTGGAGTATACGCTATTACCATGCTGTCAAGGGTTTTTCTACCTAGATGAAGAAGATATAACAAGCCTGTGTCAGTTAGCTTGCAATTAAATAAACCAAGCTCTGTTATAACAGGTAAAGATCCATTGAATTCTGATAATTTCTCTCCAGTGACATTAGAATTAGAAAGGTCAAGTGATTCAAGTGAGCTACCAAACTTTTGAAAGATTTTCAAGAGAATTACGTCAGTTATATTTGAATTTCCTGAAAGATGAATTGTCTTCAAGCTTGAACTGCAGCTGTGTAGTAGGACAAGAATTGATTCTTCTGGAATATTTTGTAAGTTGTATAATCCCAGAGTGGTCAGACGTGAGGACAGTATGAATAGCATACTGAAGATGCTTTGGTCTGGAATTGGCTGAATTTTCCTGTTTATTTTCACTGAGGTCAGGTTAGGAAGTGACATTACTGTCTGTAACCCATTAAGTGAGCATTTACTAGTGTCAGTGTCAGTGACAGAAACAGTGTCAGTGTCAGTGTCAGTGTCAGTGTCATCAGATCCAAGCTGGAATTCTATAATTTCTGGATGTTTTCTAGCAAAATACTTGAGACCCTCATCTGTGGCATCATTAACAAGTAGACCTGAAATAATACTAGAATTTCTTATTGCTTTCCATTTATTTTATCAAAAAGTGGTTATAGCCTTATAGTTGAAATTGGAATTAGAAAGATCACCTAGAACAGTTTGAACTTCATCAGCAAACTTTTCAAGATTCTCTATGGAAAATTCTGAAGTAAGTGACCAGTAATGTACCATCTTGCTGTTTTCCTCAACCTTATCCCTGATGGATGATGATACTTCTCTCAGCTTCTTTAAACTCCTGGAATCCAGAAACTAAAAATACAATTAATAAAATATTTTTATCAGTCAAATAAAATATAAGGTCTCACTGTTAGGATTTTTCTGATAACATCAGCACACACAGTGTCAAGTCCAGGTTCACCTATTTAGTTTTCAATACTTAGTTTTTAAATAGACTTAACGATTTTTTAATCTTAAAGGGACTGTAAAGGAAAAATGAAAGGGGGTATAGGCTGAAACCTGAGAATTTCAAGAGTCTAAGGATACCTGTAAGAAATCTATCTGATGTTCCTGTCTCGAGAAATTGACATAAAACTGTGTCAAAATTATAACAAAACATAAATATGTCAGATATACGTCTGTATCAAGTGACCAAAATTCCCTCCAATCCAATTCAGTGCAGTATACTGGTCATGTGATATAGACGGAGACATGTGACAATAATACTGCAGTGCCATTGGTTGGAGTTCTGGTGACATGTTCCGAATGCATAAATAATGTTATCAATTATATCTATTAAAAATGAAAAATTATTAAATTCAAATAATAATAGGAAAACTTGAGTTTCTCAGGCTCCTCTGGGATATCATTGTTTTCAGATTGGTTGTATAATTGTTAAATATGATCTGTTTAATACTACAAATCTTGTAAAAAAGGTTTAGGTATAATTTTGACACAATTTTTCGAGACAGGAACATCAGATAGAACTCTTTTAAGCCTCAATCAACTCCTGAGATTCTCAAATTTCAGTCTATACCCACTTTCATTTTTCCTTTACAGTCCCTATAATCTAGATTTATGCTATGCACGGACAAGGGTGTATATTTTCTTTAAAAATAATTTTTTTTTATCCAGCCCCCTCTTTGAAAATCATTTTATTCCCTAAGAGAAATAATGTTTGTGCAGTGTGCAATGCATGGCCCCAAATCAAATGTTTAAAGGACGTGTTTGAAAAAAATGAAAGGTGGTATTGGCTAAATCTGAATTGAATATGGAATCCATCAACATAAATTGGCTTCTTATTTTTAGCATCTGTAATGAGGAAATGACTAAAAACGCTTTGTTGCTGACAGTACATTCAAACTCACAAAGTTGCAATATCCCAGTCAAAACTCAAATCAATTTTATTTGTAACTGATCCTCTGATTTTTGCAATACACAAATTTTGTATTAAATTAATTCTAGTCACTCAAAGGTACTTAAACATTTATTTCGGATTTCTTAATTATTATAATTAATGCCACAAATCAATTTTCCAAACACAAAATTCAAGGAAACCACATCAAGTTTGATCAGTTTGAAATAAATTTTTACTAACAATCCATTTAAATTGTGTTGCAATGAGAACTTGCTTTTTTGCAAGCAAAAGATGTTGATTTAAAACAAACATAATTACTGAAACAGTACAAATGCAAGCTAAAACATAAGTTGCTAAGGTGCAGTAAACAGGTTAACTACAATTTCTGTTGACAACTGCACATACTAAAAGACACAATACTAAATAAAATGTAGTATATATAAATAAATTGTAGTAAAATGTATCCATAAAAGTTATAATTTACTGAAATCTAGATTAAATAAGATAAGTCCTATTGTTCTTTTTACTTTAAGATAATGAAGCCAGAGGCAAAAAAGCATTGTTTACTTTTCCATTTTTTACATTTGGCCCTGACATTAATTTCTCAAGGGATAACTACAGTAACAACTTTCAATAAAATAAGTTACAGATCTCTTTCTTTTCATCAGTAAAACTCAGTTTTAATATATACATTACCTTGCAAAGGATAACCTGGAACCATCATGCGTTTCATTTCTTCCTTCATAGATTCTCCTTTTTTTCCATCTGAAATTATTTATTTTATTAAAAAAAAGTTTGAGTTTAGCAATTTAGACTTAGTTGTTGAAAGAGGTATGACAATTAAAATTTTAACAAAATATCCTAATTTGAAAGTTCCCATTTAATTTCAGGACCACTAGATATGACAAGGTTAGCATTGTTTTTATTATTATAAGTGGTTTGGAGACTCTCTAGAAAGGGTTCTGTCAGCCTAGAACAGCCAAAAACATTCAACTTCTCCAGCGCAGGTCCAGTGTGCTTCAGAATGTTCGTTAGTCCAGTTTCTGTGAGTTCATCTGCATCCCCCATGTCCAGAGTTGTTAGACAGGGCAGACCCCCCTGATAAACAGATATGTCAATCAAATCGTTTGGCTAGGAAGTTTATTGGTTTTCACTAAATGGACAATTTTTTTTTGATTACCCGGAAATGGTTTTGGAGCATTAAGAAAATAATAACTTTAAGAGGTTTAATTTGCAATTTAACTGAGTTTGAAATGTGTGCCTAAAAGCCAGAAAACTCAATAATCTGTAAAAATGTTAAAAATAACCCTGTTTTTAGTAAATTTACCGCCTTTTTTGATACTTTTTGTAAATTGGACCAAAGAATAAGATTATTAAGTGTAAACAGTAGAATATATATAAAAAATATTAACATCCATCTCTATCTACAATTCGAAAAGTAGCCAAGTATTTTAGCTTTAATAAGCCAAAACTTTTATGGTTTATTGCTAGAAGTTTTCATCATTCTGGGCCTCAAGAGAACTTTTTCGACCAGTAAGATATTATGAGTATTATGAGTATTTTGAAATAGGTGAACAATTTTCTCATAAAATAAAATTGGGGAATACTATTATTGTTGTTTAAGATCACAAAAAAATAAAATTGTAATTTTGAGAGAGTGGTGGAGGGTGATAAATTTCCCTAAAAAATACACTTAATTTATTGGATATTGGCGATTTATAAAAATAAACATGTTAAAACAAATTTGAAAAGCATTTTGCAGAAATAGTCTTAAGTAAAATCTCTTTTTAAACTAAATTTTTGTAGAAAATTTGTCAAGTCTTACCTGATAGGTAGACATGAACTCTCCTGTTACATCTGTATTCTCAAGATCAAGGTGTTTAAGAGTATTCCCAGATACTTGGAGATATTCAAACAATCCAAAATCATTTAGATTGTTGCAACTATAACATTGGAGATCTTCCAGACAAGGCAAGGTTATGTTATTAGCCAGCAAACCTTCACCAGATATGAGAGTGGATGAGACATTTAAGGATTTAAGTGTGCTCCCACCAAACCGGAGTAGATGCCTCAGCATACCCTGTAAGATTTCGATTCTCCTCACAATTCAGTGCCAGTAAACATGGAAGAACGCCATTGTAAGCATACAATAGATCTCCACTGATATTAGTTTCTGATATATCCAAATACTTGAGCGTGCTTCCAGACAACTGAAGTAACTGAACTAGGCCCCTGTCAGAGAGGTTGCTGCACTTATTACATAGGAGAGACTCAACTGGAAGGATTCTTGAAAATTCAGACAATCTTTCACCAGTGATCTGGGTTTCTGTTAAATCTAAAATTCTTAGATTATCCCCACAAAGACGGAGTAAATGTAGAAGTCCATTGTCTGTTAGTTTATGAGCTTCATGACACTTGATGCTCTCCACAACAGGAAGAGATCTATTGTGGTGTTCAATATGTTCCCCAGTTACATTGGTCTCACTGATATCCAGTTCTTTGAGATTATCTCCACAAATCCTGATTATCTCTTGTAGTCCTTAATATAGAGGTATCTTAATTATGATTGTAATGAGATAGCAAGAGTTACTTATGTTAGAAAAAGATCTCAACTCAATGTATTAGAAATAAAATTTTGAGCAACATAGATTAGATCAGTGTTTATAAAGTAATTTCTTAACTTCTAATTAGTCATTTGTTTCAATTCTTTTGAGTTCATCCTTTGAGAGAACAGAGAAGAGCAAGATAGAGATAAGACTTGGTTCTTTAGAAACGGATTAAGCTCTAGCTGAACAAAGTTCCTGGCTCAGAATTATCAAGAGATCAATGGACCTTTTATAAAAACTGAAAAGTAGAATAGAATAAATTTGAATTAAATTAATTTATTGATTGCTATAATTTATTTTTATTTATTTTTCAGTCAAATGTTCCATGAAGCGCATTAGATGTGAACCATTAAATGAACATTAAACACACCCTTTAAATACTTAACAAATTAAAGATATCTTGCCTTTATCTGTCAATCCCCCATTTCCATAAAAGTGAAAGGTTTCCAAACAGGGCAGGGTTCCTTCATATTCCATCAACTTTTCTCCAGTTATCATTCTAGCGTCTACTATATTCATAATAACAAGGGTCATCCCACCCAATCGAACGAGATTTAAAAGACCTGTATCAGTTAGCTCATAACATGCGCAAAAGGTGAGCTCTGTTATTTTAGGCAAAGTTTCAGTGATCTCAGATAATGTGTCACCAGTAACTTTGGTCCTACTCAGATCAAGAGTTTTAAGAGAGTTACAAAACTTTTTGAAAATTTTCAGAAGAACTAAATCTGTTATGTTCTTATTTAATGGAAAGTTTATAACCCTCAAGTTGGAAGTGCAGCTGTCCAGTAGAGATAGAATTGATGTCTCTGGTATGTTCATATTATATAACCCAAGTGTGGTAAGATAAGTGGACTGCAGAGTTAACAGCTGAACAGGCATTGGCTTCATTTTTCTCTTTATTTCAATAGAGGTAAGGTTGGGCAAAGACAGGACATTCTGTAACCCGCTATATGAGCCTGCACTATGACAGAAAAATGTGTACTTGGATCCAAGCTGGAATTCCTTAACTTCTGGATGCTTTTCCACCATGTCATTTAGACCTTCATCTGTTGCATCACTGACAACTAGACCTGGTATATTCATATTTTATTTTTTTGTCCTCTAAATAAAGACAAAAGAATTAGGAAAAAAATTAGACGATTCCAAACAAAATTTGATTAATAAAAAATGATTGATGGCAAAAATGATTCATTTCCGAAAATATAAATAATTTGTCAGAAGATGATTATGAAAAGATTTTTTCATGTAAAATATGAGGAACATAAGGAAATGGAAGCTGCAAGAGACCCTAATGTGGAACCCCAGACAACCGCCAGGCAGGCGC